ACAATTAATTAAATATTGAAAAGTCATTCTCTCGCCTTAACTATGGAAAATGCCAAAAGAACTAGAGTAAGATTCTATACCGTATTTTTTAGTTAGGAGAGATTTTTGCTATAGGCCACCTGCCAGGATGGAGGTCTTACTTTCTCTCTTACTCCCTTTCTTTGTCTCTCTCTGGTGAAAGCACATACCCTATTGCCAACAAAAGAAAAAAATGAAGAAGATAATGAATACTGGAACTAAGGGCATATAGATGGGTGGTACATTGTGATAAATTCATTAGTATTTATTCAATAGTTTGTGCTTGCTGGAGAAACAGAGACAGAGAGAAAGAAAGTAAGAAATCACTCCCCGGGGGAAGGCCACACCTCAATCCCTTCTACTTCATTCTGCTCTCAAAATTGGGCATGTACACACATGTGCCCAGCATGTATCAAACAGCCAGATTCAGAACTCAAACCATGGTCCGCCATGTGGGAGTCTGATGGTGTAATCATTCTGCAATCTTCTGGTTACCTGAAGCATTTTTGTTTTTATTTAGGAAAACGACACCTTCCTTATTGGTGGGTCAGATTCAGTTTGATATTGTATGTTAAGAAACAGGTTATCTCTGGGACCAGCAGTTAGCGTAATGGCTATGTCGCTAGACTCCCACGTAGTCCATTGTGGTTCGAGTCCCGGACCTGGTGGCTTAAACTCACGCCGGGAGCGTGCGCGTGTGTGCCCGAGATACTGAGAGGAGAATGGAGGAGAAGGGATTGCGGCGTGGCCATCCGCCCCTGGGGGGTGATTTCTCGCTTACTGTCTCTCTGTCTCTCTCGCTGTCTTTCTGGTGAGCGCATGAACCCTATAGCAAAAAACCTCCCCCCCCCAAAAAAAATAAATAAACGAAAAAGGTTATTTCTTTTGTTTAACTTATTATTTGTATTTTTCCTTTTTGTTACATAACTGTAACAGTTAACATTTATCGCCAGACACTGCACTGAGTATTTTTCCTCTGTTAACTCATTGAGTCTTTACACAAATCCTATGAAGTAGGCACTATTTTATCATCCTTTCTTTCCAGATAAGGAGAATGAGTCAGTGCGACAAAACAATTTGCTGAAGACCCCACCAGTAGAAAATACTACTGCAGAGTCAGAGCCAAGGTAGTCTCACCACAAGGTCGAGTTTCTCCTCACTCTTGAAAAATACATTATTTTTTACTTTTTCTTTTCTTTTCTTTTTTTTTTTTTAAATTTCAAAGGGCAAAGTGGCTACAGAGACAGAGAGAGTGAGAGGGAGAGAGAGAAACCATCCCCCAGTGAGGCACAGTGCTTTTCCACCATTTCTCTATCAAGAATTTGGGCATATACACATACATATGCACACAAGCTGGCCATGTTTTTCAAGCCACTAAGACTGATATTCAAACTATGGTCAGTCTTGTGGAATCCAGCTCTCAATGTACAGAGCTTTATCAATGTGCAATGGGGCTGGCTTGATTCATTCTTTCTTTACTTTTTTTTTTTGAAATTTAAAAAAAGTGTATTTATGATAAAGTTCTTGCACATGAGCAGGAGCGAGGGGGAAAGAGGCACACTTGACAGACCTTGTCACACCACAAACCCTTTTCCTGTCCCTCCAGCCCATCAGGATCTTGGGCACTTGTGCAGATGGACAATGTATCCCAGGTCAGCCAAGGATCTGTATCTATGGTTGGCCATGTGGCTTCTAATACTGCGGTACAGCATGCTGCTGCCTGTATTGGCCCACTGAGGCTGGGTCAATAAACCATTCTAATTTCAAAAAGTCCAAATGTACCCAAACTATGCCATGGACTGTGTGCTGAAGAAAAACTTTGTTGACTGAATAAATTAGTCCACCTAATGAAAGAGCTTAAGAAAGACAAGGTGTTCTAGGACCTGTTGACATTATATCTAGAGGAACTGGCAACATTCGGAATCCAGGAGAGTTCAGAATTGAAAACAGCACAACTGTTCTATTAGAATTCTTGTAGGCAACATCTAGAAGATTTTACGTTATTTATGAGGGACTTCAGAATGTTTGTGGAAAAGTGAAATTAAAGTATCAGTTTCAGTACTAAAAAAATTCAAAATCTGTTCATATTTTACCATCAGATGCATTTCCATGAACATTTGGAAGACCTCTCACGTGTGGCACTTCATCTGGGAATTTGAGTTTCTGAGCTCATTCTTTTCTTCACTACTTTGTTCATTGACTTTCGGAACAATCACATAATAACATTATATTCCTCGGTTTTCCAAAAACATTTGAAAGCATCATAAACGGAGTCATCTGCTCTTTGTTTCTTGTAAGTGGCTGAAAAAATAACAAGACCCTGGAATTTGATAGAAAGTGGTCAGATATGGAGGATCTATTGCTGAGTGAAGTAAGCCAGGCTATGAAAGAAAGATATTGTATGTATCCACTCAATATATACCGACTATCTGCACTCTATGATAGAGAGCAAAAAATTGGAGGACATAAAAGCAGTGAAGGTACTTAATGAGAATAGGACAGTGTGGAATGGGGGAAGTGAAGAGAAGAGGATAGAGAAAGATAGCAAGTGAACAATAGAGAGACAGGACGTTAGTGAGAAACAGATAGGGCTTATTAACTGTTGATGATGACATGTATAGAATTCTCAACTGGATTGGTCTGAGAAGTGTTTCATGACGGGCAAAGTATTTTT